ATCCGGTGGCGGCCGCTGCTTCACCACCGGGGCTGCTGCGGAGCTGCCGTGCCGGGGCGGCTGCTCGGGGACCTTCAGGTGGTGGTTTTCGTACGGGTATTTTTAGGACTGCACATCTGCGCGTCCCTGCCCGACGCCTTCCCACGGGCTCTGCCTGCGCCGCTGCCTGCCTGCCTCAGGCAGGCCGGGCCATAAGCGAGCGTGCAGTGCCCTGCAGCACCCAGAGGGGAAAGCGTGTGGGCTTGCCAGGTAACCGCCGGCACGTGTGTGCGTGTGCCCAGGACATGCGTGTGCCAGGTGCACACGTGTCACAGCAGCTTCGGCTCCATGGGAGGAGCCGGCGGTGTTTGGCCGTGCGGTTTCGTGGGGTCAGAGATGTTGTCTGCTCTCTGGTTTGCTGCAGGAACCCACTCGCCCTCGAGGCTGTGCATTGGTTTGGGTTTTTAACACCAGCTGAACCGACCTGCAGAGTGGGACTCCCACCAGTGCCACCGTCGCAGCATGGGGCAGCGGCACGTGGGGCCGCACCGGGGAAAACTCACCTAACCCAGCAGCTGGGGCCAGAAGGGGCATCAGGCCGAGCCGCTGTCCTGCTTCCGCACCGCGCTCCCGCCGCGGGGCTCGGCACGCGCGGGAACGCGCTGCCGCCGGTTGGGCCTGTTCCTGCGGTTAACCGCCCTTCCCAGTTCAAAGCCCGTACCTGATTGCCAGTTTGAATCGCCCCAGCTCAGCTCCCGGCCCTGCTCCGCTGCCAGCTGGAGGGTTTCCGTGGTGCCCCGGGCTCTGCCCACAGTGGCACTTGCTCACCGTAATCACATCATCTCTCGGCCTTTTTTTTCCCCAAGAAGCTGAGCATGTCAAGCTCCTCGGCTCTCTGCGGCGAGGCGTTCCCAGAGCTCTGGGAGCTCGCCCGCAGCTCCTTTAGGAACCCCGCTGGGTTTGCACCGTCCCGCCTACAAAAGAGCACCACGTCCCGGTGCTGGGGTGTCCCACGCATGTGACCGTCCCGTCCCGTCCCACGGGCAGTTTCATCTGACCCCGGCCCTTGCTAGTGCTTCCGCTTTGCAGGGTCTGGCTCTCTTTGGGGCAGCAGCCTGTGTTTCGGTTTGGTCGTGGTGTGGCTTAGCAGTGCAGGGCAGCGCATCGCTCCTAGGGGTGCAGTGTCATGCAGTGCATCGCTCCCCGGGGTGCAGCATGGGGCTGGTTCCGTCGTGCCCACCAACCTGGGGTCCCCCCTCCACGCCGCATCTATTTTTGGGAGCAGAGGGCGCCCGCCGGCGCCTCGTCCCTTCAAAACCCCCGCGGGAGCCGGCAGCAGTTCCCAGGCGGCTGCAGCGAGGGCAGGAGCTGCTGCACGTGTGGCCGGGCAGGCGGCTGCTTCCCTGCCCGCCACGTGCACCCCCGAGCAGCGTGGCCAAATATTTTGCTCGTAAGTTATAATTACGGGGGATGAGGTCAACGCTTTGCCCGCGACGGTGGTTTCGGCGCAACCATCTGTTGGAGGCGATCGCAGGGGAGCTGCCGCCGCTCGGCTAAATTTTGGGCCCCAGGGGACACCCACCACCCCGTCCCCGGTTGCCCCTGCCAGCAGCACCCACGCCGTGGGGGGGCTGTGGGTGGGGGGGAGCGCCCCGCCGTGAGTCAGGGGTGGGGGGCGCAGGGGGTGGGGGGTGACTCACGGCCACGGCTCCCGTCCCCTCTGAGTCAATCCTGAACTTCTTCCCCGGCGCTGGGGAGGAGGAGGAGGAGGAGGAGGAGGAGCGCGGCTGCCCGGGGGTGGCGGTGACTCAAAGTGACAACAACAATAATAATACGCTGCAGCACTTGTCACGGGAGAGGCGTTTGGACGGGGTCCCTCGTGCGTCCCCACCACCTTTGGCGGTGGGGACGCACGAGGGACCCCGTCCAAACCCAGTGGGTGTCACCGCGCCGGGGGATGCTGCACGCAGGATCACGTTAGGACAGGATGGGGGGACTGCGGTGAAGGTGTCACCCGCCACTGGCACGGGGGGCTGTCGGGGACCCTGCTCGCCGTCACCTAAAATGGCCGTTTGGGTTTCTGCGGGTTCCCGGCTGCGGCACGGCAACGGTGGGCGCTGGCGAGGTCCCTAAATATAAAAAAGGCGGGGTTTTTGGGGGGGGGGGGTGTTTTTTTTTTTGTCAATGCCGCGTGTCTCATCCATCCATCGCAGGTAACCTACTTTGAAACGCCTCTGCCGCGCGGCGAGCGTGACTCGCCGGGGCCCTGCCGTGCGGGAGCGGCACGGCGCGGGTTGGGGCTGCCGGTTCCCCCGCTTACCGTCAGCCGTAAGGTCAGCCCGAGCAGTTAAATAGGGAGGCAGGAGAGAGCGCAGCGAGTCCCTCCCCGCGCTTCGGCGGCGAACGCCGGACGAGGGTCTGTTCCCCCCCACCGCCGCCAGGCCACCGCATCGGCGAGGGGATGCCCCGGCGCTGCAGGAGGAGGGTCTCGGCGGCCTAGCGCGGGGGCACGGCGCCGCAGCCCCCCGTCCCGTCCCGTCCCGCCGCGGTGGGCGAGCCTCAACCGGGTAAGAGCGCGGGGGAGCGGGACCGGTGCCGGGGGCCGTGGCAATACCCGCACGTACCCTCCCGGCGGGGCCACGCTCACCCCGCGGGGCCGGCGGTGGGGCTGGGGGAGCGGGAGGCAGCTGGTGCCGCCGGCTTCTCCCCGTCTTTGTTCGGCGGCCGCCGGCCCGGGGCTGCCGCGGGGTTTGTACGCAGCCCAACTATTTTTAGTGCGTTTGGAGACCATGTTTGCTGGAAGCGAATCAAAGCCCGCGAGCTGGCCCTTCGGCAGCGCCAAGCGGGGCGGCTCACGGCCGTGCGCTCCCCGGGCACCGGCGATGCCGGGGGTGGGGGGGGTGGCTCACCCACCCCCCGGGGCTGCCGGAGGGACCCCGGTGTGGTGGGGCCAGCCTGGGGGGCCGGGGGCCGCCGAGCCATTTTCTAGGGCTGCAGGGACGTTGAGGCAGGCGCCGGCAGCAGCACTGCAGGGCAGTGCAGGCAGGGACGTGCCGGGCTCCCCCGGGGACACCAGCACCCTCTTTTGGGCACGGGGCGGGGGGGGGCCCGCCAGGGTGTCTGGGGTGCTCCTGCCGCGGAGGTGCCTGGGTGCAGCCCGGGTATCCCCGGGCGCTTCCCAGCGGCACGTGTCCTCCCGTGCCCGCAGCTGGGACTTTGCTGAGGCACAGCACGGTGGGAGCAGGGCTGGGGGCTTGCGGGGGGGGGGCGACAGGGCTCCGCCAGCCGCTGGCCCCGCAAGCAGCACCCCGGGGAGGCAGCTCGCAGGGAGGGACACGGGGCCGAGATGGCACAATGGGCTGTGCCAAACGGCACACTGTGCCATGCCGTGCCAAACGGGGTGCCGAGCTGTGCCGAACGGTGTGCCGTGGTGCTGGTGGCACAGCAGCTGCCAGACGGGTGCCTGAAGCGGTGCCATGTGGGTGCTGGGGGTGCTCGGTGCCAGTCCCGGCCCCTCACTGAGGGGCACCGCGGTGCCCCGGGTGCCGGTGCGGGGCAGAGGTCGGCAGTGGCGGGGGCCAAGCCTGCCAGGCTGGGGGCAAAGGGGTTCTGCGGGGGTCAGGCGCAGGCCCTGCGCGGCAGAGGGCTGGTGGGGACGGTGCCCCAGGATGGGGCCAGGGACGGGACCTTCCCCAGGGGCTCCCCGAGCTGGCAAAGGAGACGGACAGGGAAGCCCTTCCCCGGCTCCCACTAGCTGGCACAGGGCTGTGCATGGTGGGGGAGGGGGGCAGACTGCACCCCCAGCCCGCACCCCATGTCCCCATCCTGCTTGCTG